TGACTAGTCCTAAACCTTGAATAACACCCGAGCATGCGAAAACCCACCCAAGAATGCCTAGAACGTTACAGATAACAAGATTCACCACATAAATCATAAGGACAAGCCCTAAACATAATTAAATACAAGAACATGCCAACAATCAAGAATATAATAACAAGAATCCATATCACAAATCTTGAAGACAAGCTCTAACAAGGCACAAATACAAAATCACACATTCGATCGTTCAACGGAGCCAATCCATAAACAATAGCAAGGAAAATAGGTTTTGTAGGACATGGGTTACCTGGTAGCTTTAATCAAACTTCTTACGACTTCTAGGGTCTTTCCTCAAGGTGCTCTTCCTATTAGTCTTTCCTAAGCCTGGTGACGGGGAATTCTTTGTCTGATCTCTGGGAGGGGATTTTCGAGTATCTGAGAGGGAAGGGGTTCGAAAGCTTTCTAATTCCTTTTATATAGGTTTAGGATTCCTAATTAGAATCTGATTAATACTGGGCTCAACTTCTTCATCCTAACGGGCTCTAAGGCTTTAATATGGGTAAGGGTCCACGGTCTACAGTGGACCACGTTAATTAATTTAGGGAATCGTGACTGAATTAAATTCTTTTTAGCTATTCTTTTAGCGGGATTAATTAAATAATTAATCCGAATTTAAAGGCATAACATGGGGTGTTACACTATACTCTACCTAATGAACTTCCCATTAAAGTTAGATGCACATAGTTTTCGCTTAGTTTTTTACGGCATGTTTTGTAAACTATGGCCTCCGACATACTACAATGATGCACATGTCATCCCCATGCATGGCACAAAATTTTTATAAGTTTGGCACACGACATCCTAAGTCACGAACATATGTACGTGATTTACCCCAAAAAAATCGTACGTACGTGCACTGCACAATATTTCGCAAACATTATTCTCTACCCTAATGCACTTCCCCTAAACATTTAAATGCACATAGTTGAGTAACTTACCATCATCCATGTCAGTGTCAGCAACTCCTCTTGGGTGGTCCTCGTCCATTCCGGTGTCAGCAGCTCCTCTCTGGTGCTTGTCGTCCATTCCGGTGTCAAAACCTCTCAAGTGATCGTCATCCATGGTGGTGTCAGACCCTCTATTCTAACCATCGTCCATGGTGGTGTAAGAAGCGCTCATCTGGTTGCCGTTCATAGATTTCCATTGTCATGAATTACATTCTGATTTGACCTACAATGTTTACTGTAAATTACTCCTTCTAAGATGCTAAGTTTGTTAATTACAATCCTTCCAAAATTAAAATTCCTTTGAAATGTCTTCTTTGCCCTCCCTTGTTATTTCTAGTCAAAATCACAGCATATTTTAAGTAGTATCATAGCCTTGTAATCTATTAATTTTAATGGTTAGGATTTGTCCTCATAGTCCTCTATATATTAGTGTCCTCATGTGAACTCAACCCTATATATATATATATATATATATATATATATATATATATATATATATATATATATATATATATATATATATATATATATATATATATATATATGGAAGGGATCAGGTGCGGGTGAGGCTTCCCGTGCGGTTGTGCAGATGGACGCACGTTAAGCATCAATCTGACGCACTTAAAGTACAAAACACATGCACATTAAGCACACAAACAAAACACCTTAAGAACACAACCCCACGCACGTGAAAGTTGGTTTTAGTGATGATGTTTAGTGAGTGTCGTCCTCTAGGAATAACTATAAGGGAATTGAGTAGAGTGGGGTTAAACACGAGATCATTGAGTGTTTGAAAGCTAACCAAAAGGAATTAATCATTTGCATTGAGAACAAATATATGATAAAGCCATAGATTATTTAAAACACAATATTGAAGGGAAGGATTTATATAAAGCCACTTTGCATAAATGCTACTAATGTTCTAAGTTTCTAAGCCAAGCAAAAATCAAGAATGAGAGTGAGGGAGTTTAGCAAGTGCCAACTCCATTCTCATGGTCATTGGTCTATCACCCAAGTTCACATCACATTCTCATGGCAACTAGACTAGGTGAGGCAAATAATCAAATACCTTGTGTGCTCTATCCCTTCCAATTCCCCTTTCTCAAGAGTGAGTTAGAATAGTGATAGGTTTGGCTATGTTGAATCCCTACTCTCATAGGTGAAACACCAAATCCAAAATCCTCATGCAAAGTTGGGCCCTAACCAAGCAAGAGTCAAAATATTTTACCAATTTCACAATCAAATTCATTCTAAAGATATTGCAAGCCCTAGGTTTTCCAATTTAATTTATGTTGACATTCATACAAAACAATCCAATCTAAATCCCTAACTAGTTTAACTACTCATAATGGAATTGGCATACTACAAAGTTATTAAAGCAATACATGATGAATTCAAACTACAAATAATGCAAAATGCAAGAGTAAGAAGTAGATAAATTTACTTTATTGAACTAGACAAAATAATTCTGAAATTGACATTGCAAATGTAATTACATGTGGTAATCTTCCTCTAAATCTTCCCAAAGATCATGGATTACAATGGGTGTATGTTCTGAGATGGTTTGTATGGAGAGAAAATGAAAAAGAAGATTCTAAAAGTTAACTGAAAATAACGCTTAAAAGTTATTTATACTTTTGAAATCGTGCCTTTTAACTGCTTCCAAAATATCTAGTCAGGTCACAACGTAACATTCATCGTGACCAGGCCAAAGCCTTGCAGGTCACAGGATGTGACGTGCAGGTCACGGTGATTTGTGGATGTGATTAATTGACTTATTCAAACCGTAGCCCAACGACAACAATATATTACTAAATTCCAATCGATACAGCTAGCTTGTCTTAATCATATTGCAGCTGTATACAGGTAGCAAAATGCAAGCAGGGACCAATTAAGGCTATATGCATGGGTCAATGCAATGTTTATTTAAAAAAAAAAAAAAATCATCCTATTGTTATATCAATACAATTACATTTAACTAGTACACTTAGTAACTTGAGGATGTGATTTAGTGGAAATGACTCATCCATCTTTTATCAAATGTAAAGAATTCAATTCTTGATTTTGGATATGAAACGGTCTTAAATTTCAAAGCTAGCTACGTTGGGTATACCCAAAAAAAAAAAAACACCTAGTATTCAAAAGTGGTTTGTCGATCACTTTCTCATTACATCTAAAAATTATAGTTTTTTTTTTATAAATAAAAAATATCTTTTCTAAAATTATTTTATTTTATCAATATATAAATTAATTTTAAATATTAAAAATAATAATCAAATTTTATTAAATTATTTTTCAAAATTTTGAAATAAAATAATTCGCATTAAGCTAATATTCTTGAAAAAGAATTGTATTAAGTAAATATTTGAAATAAATGAGTGAAAGGTGTGCAATTAATAAATGGAGTATCAATATGCTATCTAAAGTTATTTTGAAAAATATTAAAAATCAAAATTAAACGAAAAAAAATATAGAATTATTTAGTTAAATTAAATATAAAGATAATAAATGTTCATTAAAGAATTTGGAGCAAGTGTAGGACCCTTGAGAAGAAAGAATTTTACTTTAGAAAAATATTTCATGGTTTCTCATTTCTTACTCTCAGTTCTTACTCCTTCCCACAAATCTTTGATATAGATATTTTTTTGGGACTCACATGATGAAAATATCTCATCTTTGTTTGTCAAATTATGAATTTTCATATTTGAACCTCAAACATGAGATTCAGATATGAACAATAGAGAACCATGACTATCTGGAACGAGGACGGCAGCTTCCAGATTGTCCAGATCTGGACCTAGGGTCCGACCATCACTTAAAGATTGAGATGGAATAATCCTGTAGTGTAGAGCATCAGCTTCCCTGACTAAACAACATAAAGAACCATACCAAACTATAAGCCAAAGATTATTCATTGGCTTGTAAAATTTTACTCCAAAATATATTGAAAGATGAAAAGAATTCTTCGAAGATACTGTGACATGGGGCAAACTTCCAAAGAAGATTCAAGATATTGAAGATATACATACTATTCCAATTGTCATAGCATATGATGCTTCTTCGAACCAAAGAAAGTTCTATGCTTGAAAAGTCATATGTGTACAACAAAGTCAACAAGTGTGTGCACATGTGTATATGAAATTACTTCAATACCCCTATTCATTTAAAAAAAAATGCCACATCACCATTATAAATCTGAACAATTGAAATAAACAACTGAATTGTTAAGTGCTGGTCTATAGTGCACTAATAAATCTGAACCATTGAAAATTAATGAAGATTGGAAAAATACGATGGTATTTTGGTAATGTTTTGCATAATGTATATTTCGGTGGAGCACATGTGAGTGCTCTGTGGTGTACCATAAATGTTGGTCTATGGTGCACTAATGAAAAAAATGTGGTGACATTTTGATAATTTTTTGTACCATGTATATTTTGATGGTGCACTTATGAGTGGTTTGTAGTGTATCACAAAGTGCTGGTTTGTGGTGCACTAATGGGGAAAATGTTGTTGCATTTTAAAAAATTTCTGCCCTATGTATATTTTGGTAGTGCACTGCTGGGTATGGTGCACTTAACTGACTTAGAGAGCCAATTTAATTATTTTCCATGAATTTTTAATGAATAGATTGATTTTTGAAAAAAATAAAAATCTATTGTTGAAACTCTGAACCAAAGGAAGCTGCTAAGAAATGCATATATACCTAATTTCAAGAATGGAGAAGTCAATTATTGGTGAAAATTTTTGATATGCTATTTGTCCCTTTCCCTTATCTTTCTCTTTTGTATTTTTCTTTACTTTTAAATTAATTAAATTATAAAATATCCTTTCAAAAAAAATTAAATTATAAAATATTTTTTCTTATATACTCCATAGTTTTTAACCAAATAATAAAAAAAGCTTTGTATTCATGGCGAAAATTCAGTGGAATATTTTCGTTAGTTGTTTATCATTCTCACCAATTCAGGGACCCACACTACGACTTTCTGTTGCTCATTACTACTCAATAATCATTCCTCATCAGTATTAGTTAAAAGAAAGAAAGAAAAAAAACTCTCAAATTTTGTCACAAAATCTTGAATTTCTTCATTCCTCTGTACTCAATACATTGCCATGGAAGCTGTGGCGGCGATCATTGGTTCAGCTCTAATACAACCTTTTAAATTTGTATTTGGATCCATCTATGATGCGATGAAGAATCGTTTTAAGATCCATTCAAATTACAATCAACTAGAGAGAGACATAACACTTGTATTGGCTCTCAAGACTCGCTTGAGAAGTGGGCTAGATGATGTGCAGCTGCAGCATCTGTTACCCACAACTCAAGTTCAAGATTGGTTAAGCAAAGTTGAAGAATTGGAGAAAAATTTCAATTCTTTCCGTTCAACTCTGACAGAAAGTGGCATTACAAGTGATTCCGCCTCTTGTTGCTCAGGTTCCCTGCACTGCAAATTGAGCAACGACATAGCGAAACAGATTGTGAAAGCAAAACAACTCATTGAAGAAGGCAAACCCTTTGAGGACAAGATAGTGGGTATTCCTGTGGCAAGGCCAGTTCAGTATATTGAGGTGACATCAATCAAAGGTCAACCCACAGCATCTAAAAATTTGGCGAAGATGATGGATCTGTTGAAAAGTGAAGAGTATAAGAGGATTGGTGTTTGGGGCATGGGAGGCGTGGGCAAGACTACTCTTGTCAAGAATTTGAATAATCAGCTCACCAATGATCCAACCTTCAACATCGTAATACTGGTTGTAGTATCTCAAAACGCAACGGTGGAAGGCGTCCAATCAAAAATTGCTGAGCGGTTGGAATTGCATATGATGAATAGAGAAGTGAGTAAGGAAAGTATGGCCAGTCGTTTGTACAACAAACTTAAAGGCGAAAGATTTCTTCTAATTCTGGATGATATATGGGAAGAAATCGATCTCGATGTTGTGGGGATTCCTCGACCAAATGAACATACTGGCAGCAAAATCATACTAACCACCCGAGATTTTAATGTTTGCCAACAAATGTTGACTGACATTGACTTTCAAATGGGTCGCTTGCATCCTGAAGAAGCCTGGAAGTTGTTTCGTGAAACTGTGGAAGAGGAAGTGGTGGATGATGACCAAATTAAGCCCATGGCAGAGGCCATTGTTAAAGAATGCGATGGATTACCCCTTGCACTAATTATGGTAGGGGCATCATTGAGGAAAAAGAGAGAGATTGGCTTGTGGCAATGCGCATTACATGCCTTGCAGAAATCAGAGCCTTCTCGCATTAGAGGTGTTGAAGAAAAGGTTTACAAACCCCTCAAGTGGAGCTATGATTCCTTACAAGGTCAGCAATTGAAATCTTGCTTTTTGTTTTTCTGCCTATTCCCAGAGGACTTTGAAATTCATACTTATAAACTAGTCCAATATTGGGTAGCTGAAGGTTTAATTGATGAGCAACAAAACTTTGAGCAACTACAGAATGAAGTTATACGTATTGTTGACTACTTAAAAGGCTCTTGTTTGTTGGAAATAGGTCAACGTTTAAATCATGTAAAGATGCATGATGTAGTTCGTGATGTTGGGGTATGGATAGCAAAATCCTTAGAGGAAGGGTGTAAAGCTATTATCAAAGCTGGAATTAGCGGGACGCAAATATCACAACAGCTATTCAATTGTTCTGGGGTGAAGAGGGTGTCGTTTATGGCGAGTAATATAGAATTTCTCCCAAACTACAACATACAATGCGCAGAAGCATCCACTTTATTTTTGCAAGGTAACCAGAGACTTTTGGAAGTATCAAACACATTTTTACAAGGATTCCAAATGTTAAGAATTTTGGACTTGAGTGAAACTAAAATCAAATTCCTGCCACACTCACTTCTTCAACTTGGTGAACTTCGAGCTCTCTTTTTAGAAAAATGTTGTGAACTGCTTGAGTTACCATCCTTGGCCACACTTGGAATGTTGCAAGTGCTTAATTGCTCTGCATCTGCTATCACTAAATTGCCAGAAGACTTTGAAAAGCTAACGAACCTACGGCAGTTAGACTTATCTCACACTTATAAGTTGCGGAAAATTTCTAGTGAGAAAGTTTCTAAATTATGTAGTTTGGAGTTTCTAAATATGATGGGCAGCGCTACCAAATGGAGAATGAGGAAAGTAAATGATGAAAATTTACCATTTGAGAAGTTGTTATGTTTAGATCAATTACTTTGCTTTCACATTGACTTGGAAGACATTTCTCATGTCACTGCTGAACATGTTTCTTGGCTCAGGAGAATTAACAGCTTCTGTGTTAATGTGACTCATGGTGATAATATCTACCAAACATATAAACCCCATAGATTACATGTAAAATATAAACCCAATACGAAGCGTGTGTTCTTCTCTGGCTTTCTTTTCTCAGAAGATGAATCAGTTGGATGGCTGTTAGTACATGCATTTTGCTGTGAAATTTGGGAGTGTAAGGGAGTTGATCTCATGCTTCTCCACATGGTTAGGAGCAGCGTTGCATTTGTTAATTTGAAGCGCTTAGTAATAAGTGGCTGTTGCATCTCTGTCAAGCGATCGTCTCAAGGGTGTGTTACGGAATGTGACTTGCTTCCTAACTTAGAGGAACTTCTTTTTTTGAACTTGACCGAATTAGAAAGCATTTCAGATTGCAGCAATTTTCTTGGACTGCGTTTCACCAAGCTTAGATTCATAGTCGCTCATGATTGTTATCAATTGGAAAATCTATTCACAATGGATGGAACTCTTCACGAACTTGCAAATCTGAAAACAATCGTGATACGCAGATGTATGAACTTGTCACAAGTGTTCAAAAACACACCCACAGACAACTTTGTGCCAATGTTGAAATCCTTAACTTTGGAGGGACTTCCAGCACTAGAAGAAATATGCAAAGCAGATGAATCATGGAAAAGTCTAAAGAAGTTTAGAGTGAGGGAATGCAGTAAGTTGCTGAAGTTGCCTCTTAGTGTTCAAAGTGCAGAGAATATTCAGTCAATAATGGGAGAACAAAATTGGTGGAATGAACTGCAATGGGATAATGAAAATCTGAAGATGCACTTACACCCACTTTTTAAACCAAGTGATTAGCAAGAAGTTAAAGATGCAAATGCTTCAAATTATGTCTTCAGCATGACTCAAGTAAGATTTTATGCAATAACCAAGTAAATTACTTATAAGGAAAATGTAATATTTTTGATAAAAAATGTAATATTTTTACATCAAAATATTAAAGTATTACATTTTACTTATAAGTATCAAAACACATTATTTTTAATTAGTATTAACATTTTTCAATATAATAAGTATTAAATTTTCATATTGACCCCACGGATAAGGATCCATGGGATCTCATACAAATGTGACCCTCATTTTATTGGATACAATCTCATTTTCCTTAAGGCTGTATTTGATGTTGTATTAAAAAGGCAAAAAAAAACAAAAACAAAAACAAAAAAACAAATCTATGTGCTACTCTGAAGGTGTATATATATATATATATATATATATATATATATATATATATCCTCTAATGTCTACTTTTATGTTTTTATTTACAAGGAGCAAACACAAAATTTTAAAAAGTTATTATGTCTCAATCTCTTGATGCACATGTAGTGGCATAATGATGATGTTGACATCCAATGCATTCTTAATCACCAAGTACATGCTATACAAATTAAAAAGGAACCTTCAAAAGTGGGACTGATATTATTTTTTAGGTTAAATATATTTTTTAAACTAGTGGATATATAAATCATTATATTGATGATATTTACTGTGAGAAAATTACCGATTTGGTCCCTCGACTATGAGGATTTCACCAATTTGGTCCTCGACTACTAAAATTACTCAATTTGGTCCTCAACTATAACATTTTTACCTGATTTGGTCCTAAGTGTTATTTGCAGGTCAAACCTAAAAGGCAATTGTGGGATTTAAAAAATTTATCTTCCTTCTTATTCCCTAAATCTAAGTATCTAAGTCGTTTGTTTTATATAGATAGGTTATTTGTTTTCGATAGCAGTCGCAACTTCAATATGCAATCAAAGTGCAGTGAATCATCTACATCCAGCTATAAGAATCGAATGATGTTCGAAAATGGAGAAGCTTATAGCTGGATGAAAATGATGTTGACACAAGGCAACAAATTTTTGAACATCATTCGATTATTATAGCTGGATGAAGATGATTCATGGCACTTTGGTTGCATATTGAAGCTGCGACTGCTATCGAAAACAAATAACGTATCTATATAAAACAAATGACTTAGATTTAGGGAAGAAGAAAGAAGATACTTTTTTTTAAATCTCAAAATTGCCTTTTTGGTTTGACTTGCAAATAACACTTAGGACCAAATCAAGTAAAAATGTCATAGTCGAGGACCAAATTGAGTCATTTTGGTAGTCGAGGACCAAATTGGTGAAATCCTCATAGTCGAGGGACCAAATCGGTAATTTTCTCTATTTACTGTGTTAGGCATTCTAATAAATAGATTTTTTTGTTTTTTTTTTTCTTTTAACAAGAGTGCAGGTTGGGTTGCAATTGCTAAGTCTGATCCAATCATCAAAGTCAACAAGTGTATAAGATTTGGATAAGTGATTGATTAGTTTATTTATAGTTGGTGTTTTTATTTTTCAACTTTCATGTTTATGTTTATGTATGTGGTTTATTGTATCAGACAGTTGATATTGATATAATGGTATGAAATGAAATATGTATATATCTATGGGTGTCTTGCTATTTGGTGGTTACTACGTTTTTGTGTACTTCAATTTTAACTTTTTAAAATTATATATGTATGCAATAGTTTGGGTTTAACTTTTTAAAATTATATATGTATGCAATAGTTTGGGTTTATGGGGTAGTTACTGTTGTGATTTGATTATATATGTCCGTTGATCCCCGTTAGCTCCTAACTGGTTGAACTTTATTTGTAGAATTTGTGATATTGAAAAGAAAAAAGAGAGGAAAATTTATAGACAATAGTATATGAAGATAAAACAAGACTTCATTCTCCATCATCCATTGTACAAAAGGAGCTACAACATATATATTATATGATATATATAATATAATTATAACAAAAGCCAGAAATGTAATCATAAATCTCCTAACCGTTACGTAATCAATAGAAATAATATCCATACTAAATAAGATTTATAGCACTCCCACTTGAATATTATTTTTCCATAATCATGCCTCGTTAAAAACTTGTTAGAAAAACTCTGTGGGAAAAACATAGTCAAGAAAAGAGCACACGATATATGAGTATCTCATTTGTTGTTTTGGTTGCCTCATTACACTACTACAAGTAATGCTTTTAACGTCAGTTTTCTGTCGACGTCGTTGCCGCAGACGTTGTAAGTAAACGATACGACGTCGGTTATTTATAAAAACCGACGTGGTAGTTTATTTCTTTTTATAAAAAAAGCACATAAGACGTCGTATCTCTTTTTTTAAAAAAAAAAAGGCACAAGTGTCAAATAGGCCCATCTACTATTTGAAGTGCTCAATTCTCCCCATCAACTAAAACATAATCTATTTGTTGGGAAAAATCCCACTATCTGTGACAAATGAAAATCACAGAACCGACAAGAGCGCAAATACGAGATAGTACAAGATAGCCAAAATAAATAACAGATACAAGGGACACACGATTTACGTGGAAAACCCCAAATTGGGGAAAACCCACGGGACCACCACCACGAAAATATTCCACTATAATAAATCTTGGGTACAAAGTTCCTGGCAACCACACGAGCCAAACATCCAAAATCATCAAATACACCAACACTAGGCCAAATTACATATATTCTAATTCACAGGCTAAAAGGAATAATATCTCGTACCCAAAATATTCAACCACCACGAGCAAGGTGAACAGAGTAAAAATATTACGAGATTACCCGAAAGATGCCTGGAATAAATACAAGCTGACCTCAAAATATTTGATGAAGATAACACCCAGGAGCTAGGCAAACCTCCCGCCGTTGCTGCGAACTGCCGTGAAGAAGGAAGAAAGAAAATTGAATTTTCTTTTCTTTCTTGATGCCTCTACCGAAATGAAGAAAGAAGAAGATAAAGTTTATCTTTCTTCTTTCTTGCTTACTGCCTAAGAAGTGTGTAGAATAATGTGGTTGTTTCTCACTATCAGAAAACAATGAGCTCATCCCCTTTTATAGATGGTATTGCCGACATGGAAAAGAGGAGGGGAAATTAGTTTCAACTTCATCCCATCAACTCTTCCCTTCAACTTCAGCCCAAAAACCTTTGCTCCAACTTCCACCCTTCAACTTTTACCCATATCCCATTCTCCCATGACAATTAAATAATTGTCAAACAAAACTTTCCCAAGAAGAAAACAAATATTATAATGGAATATAAATGTAGGCTTGGTCCAAAAATGAGTTGTTTACCACATAGGAGGGAAGTTCATTCCCAACAAATCTCCCCCTCCCGACTATGTGGAGGATATCGCCATCTCGGCGATAGAACAACACACCTCAAACTTTCCTCTTGGCAACGATTTGGTCATCATGTCAGACCCATTATCATCAGTTATGAATCTTTTGAAGTTCAAGCATCTTGCATTCTAAGATGTCTCTAATCCAATGATATCTTGTGTCAATATGTTTTGACCTGTAATGGAACGTGGAGTTCTTTGCAAGATGAACTGCACTCTGACTATCACAATAGAGCACATACTTGTCTTGAACAAACCCGAGCTCCTGAACAAACTTCTTCATCCATAGCATTTCTTTACTGGCCTCAACAGATGCTATGAACTCAACTTCAGTGGTAGACAAAGCAACACACTTTTGCAATCTTGATTGCCATGAAACTGCTCCCCTGCATAGGTAATCAGATAACCTGAAATGGACTTCCTCGTATCAATGTCTCCAGCCATATCTGAATCAGTGTACCCGGTAAGAATTGGTTTCCCTGTACCAAAGCACAAAACTCAGACTTGAAGTACCCCGAAGATATCTCAGAATCCATTTCACAGCATCCCAATGTTCCTTCCCTGGATTTGAAAGAAATCTGCTAACAACACCCACTGCATGAGCAAATATATGGTCTCGTGCATACCATCGCATACATCAAACTACCAACAGCTGAAGAATAAGGAACTCTTTGCCATTTCTTCCTTCTCTTTCTCACTAGAAGCACATTGCTTCTTGCTCAACTTGAAATGCATATCAAGAGGTGTATTCACTGGCTTAGCTTCATCCATATTGAATCTCTGAAGTACTTTCTCTATGTACTTCTCTTGAGATAACCACAGCTTCTTATTCTGCATGTCACGGATGATCTTCATCCCAAGAATCTGCTTTGCTGGTCCCATGTCCTTCATAGAAAATGACTTACTCAACTCTGGTTTCAACTGTTGAATTCTTGAAACATTGCGACCAATAATCAACATATCATCAACATAAAGCAACAATATGACAAAGTCATCATCAGAGAATCTATCTACAAAAACACAGTGGTCTGAAGAAGTCTTCTTGTATCCATGCTTACTCATAACGGAAGTAAACTTTTTATACCACTGCCTCGGAGCTTGCTTCAATCCATACAAACTCTTCTTTAACCTGCAAACATAATCCTCGTTCCTTTGACTTTGAAACCCTCAGGTTGCTCCATATATATCTCCTCATCCAAGTCTCCATGGAGAAAAGCTGTCTTCACATCCATCTGTTCAATTTCTAAATCCAAACGGGCTGCTAGACCCAACACAACTCTAATGGATGAAATTTTCACAACAGGAGAGAAAATTTCAACAAAATCAATACCTTTCTTTTGGCTAAAACCTTTCACCACCATTCGAGCTTTGAATCGTGGAACTGAAGTGCCTTCTTCATGTTTCAATCTGTAAATCCACATGTTCTTCAAAGCTTTCCTGTTCTTTGGTGCCTTCACCAACTCAAAGGTATCATTTACATATAAGGAATTCATCTCATCCTACATAGCCTCAAGTCATTGTCTCTTTTGCTCACTCTCCATAGCTTCTTTATAGAACTCAAGTTCTCCCCCATCAGTCAAGAGCACATACTGACTGGAAAGTAACGAGTAGATGGTCTCTGTTTCCTGTTAGACCTTCTAGGAGGATCAACTGGAACCTGCGACGGAACTTCTTGTTCCTGGTGCACAACATCATCAACATGATCATCCACATCAGTTGTATCATCCTGATTGTCTGGTACTGGATCACCATTCTGGCCATTCTCTTGAACCTCATCAACATCATGTGTGTCTCTGCTGGAAACTGGCTCACAATCAACCAAACTTCCGCCGTCTTGAGATTCTGGCTTTCTCACTTTGTCAACATCTTCAATGGTTTGATCTTCAAAGAACACTACATCACGGCTTCTCACAAGCTTCTTCTCAACTGGATCATACAGCTTGTAGCCAAATTTATCAAGACCATAACCAATGAAAATACACTGTCTAGTCTTCGAGTCCAACTTAGATCTCTCATCTCTTGGGACATGCACAAATGCCTTGCAACCGAAGATTCTGAGGTGATCATAAGAAACTTCCTTTCCACACCAAACCTTATCAGGAACTTCATTATTCAAAGCAATAACGGGAGATAAGTTGATAACATGAACAGCTGTGGAAACTGCCTCAGCCCAAAAAGAACTAGGAAACTTTGCATCATCAAGCATGCATCTGACTCTCTCCATAATTGTCTGGTTCATCCTCTCTGCTAAGCCATTTAACTGAGGAGTTTTAGGAGGAGTTTTCTGATGTCTAATTCCGTGCATTCTGCAATACTCATCAAATGGGCCACGATACTCACCGCCATTGTCAGTACGGATGCACTTCAATTTCTTCCCTGTCTGTCTCTCAACAAGGGCATGAAACTCTTTAAAACACACCAAAACACATCACTTTTGTGCTTCAAAGTGTAAACCCAGAGTTTCCTAGAATAATCATCAATGAAGGTCACAAAGTAAGATGCACCTCCAAGTGATCTAACCTTCATTGGTCCACACACACAAATCAATGTAAAGTGGCTCCGGCTTTTGAAGGAGAATTGCTCATAAAAGAAACTCTTTTCCCTGCCAGGCAATGAACACATCTGTCCAATCTAGCTTCCTTTACTCCTGAAAGCTTCTTTCTTGGCAAGGTAATCAATGCAATCTTGATTGCCATGAAACTGCTCCCCCTGCATAGGTAATCAGATAACCTGAAATGGACTTCCTCGTATCAATGTCTCCAGCCATATCTGAATCAGTGTACCCGGTAAGAATTGGTTTCCCTGTACCAAAGCACAAACTCAGACTTGAAGTACCCCGAAGATATCTCAGAATCCATTTCACAGCATCCCAATGTTCCTTCCCTGGATTTGAAAGAAATCTGCTAACAACACCCACTGCATGAGCAAATATATGGTCTCGTGCATACCATCGCATACATCAAACTACCAACAGCTGAAGAATAAGGAACTCTTTGCATTTCTTCCTTCTCTTTCTCACTAGAAGCACATTGCTTCTTGCTCAACTTGAAATGCATATCAAGAGGTGTATTCACTGGCTTAGCTTCATCCATATTGAATCTCTGAAGTACTTTCTCTATGTACTTCTCTTGAGATAACCACAGCTTCTTATTCTGCATGTCACGGATGATCTTCATCCCAAGAATCTGCTTTGCTGGTCCCATGTCCTTCATAGAAAATGACTTACTCAACTCTGGTTTCAACTGTTGAATTCTTGAAA